TGCTCCCCAGTAAAGAGGCACGTGACAAAACGGAAAGTGCAGTGGCAAAGGCCAGAAGGGAGTGCTATGGCAGCTCAGGAAAGGGCATTTTAATAAGAACTCTGGAAGATATGGTTACAATGGCAGTCTACCTTACTTTTAATGATGAAAGGATGGCAAGAAGAAGGGGAGAGCAGAGTCATTCGGGGTGAGCCATCACCACAATGAAGGCAGACATGCCTTCCAGCGACGTCAGAGAAGTGAGCCCTCTTTGCAAGTGGTTAGCAAATAAATGGTGTCTTGGGGTGCAATCTCCTCATGGGGAATGATGTCAACCCTTACCCACATCTGGCAGTCAATGGCCCAGTCAAAAGAACGCGCAGACATCAGGGAGGATCACCACTCAAGTTATAAACCCTGTTGCCTGCTGGGGGACAGCTATACTTTGGATGTACCCTGTCGTTCACCAGTTCCTCCCTAATCTACTCCCATTCTAGTAAATAACCCCACCTTGTGCACGTACACACCACAATTAGTCCTCATGTGGGCAAAAATATAAAATTACAGGTGTATGGTATTATATACATCATGTTTTATATATTTGCCATTACCAACTTATATCTCTATAGAATTTGGTCTCAAGACCTGGTGAATCAGAAAAAGCACAGGACCAGCAATCAGGCCTAGACCGATTTCCAACAAGTATTTTATTTCTTCTTTGTAACCTTCTCACTCCCTCCTCTGGCCCTTTGACAATTGTTTTGTGAAATCAGTCCTGGGCTCTCTCATCAGCAGGCAGAGAAATATGGCAATTGCACTAATACACATGTAAACCTCTAGCCCTGTTGAGGCCGGGACTCTCTAAGGTTGGGAAGCACCATGTGAAGAGCTCCCTGTCACTGGCATGTAAAGTTTTCCTGCTTCAGAGCTGCTATCTGTGTAGTGACAACATAGTCTAGACTCTAGAGCCAGACCTGAGTTGAAATCCCAACACCATCACTCACCAGTTCTGACCAGCACATCCCACAGCTACTAAGATACCTTAAATACAGAACAGGTTTTCAAAGATGCTTGAGTGACTTAATCAATGAGTGCCTGTGGAAGGACTAATTACTCTAATGATTTAGATGCAAACCATCAAGAGGCTGAAGGATGCATTGAAGGGCCTATGTGGGGCCTTTCCTGCTCCTGTAAATCTATCAACACTGCAGTACTGCATAGCTGGGGATCTAGTATGGCCAAGGCTTTGTCTTCCTTTCAGTGGGGGAAAAAGGGATGGGGGTACCACAAAGGAATTCATCATTCATAAGAGAAACTGCTCCTGCCATCTGTGCTTAAAAGCAAAAAGTAATTTTTCCCCAAATTAAAAGAGTATGTTTGCAATTGAAATGTGAGCTGGTAAAAAAGATAACTCACTCCCCAGACTTCTCATCAGCTAAATGTTATCACAGCTACACATGTCAAATAGCTGTAGTGCAGCCTGGGAATGAGTCTTCCAAATAAAAAAGCACAGTGTGAAATCCTGACTTTTTCTGATCAAAAAGCATCCTGGAGTGAGCTGAACAGCTTTGGGTCAAGAAGAGGCCTCGATTTCTGGGGTTATTTTTATTGTTTTCAGAGAGAAGACTGTACTTGCCGTGAATTTGCCGCTACTCGCACACTCCTACTGGCGAGGCACACTTGTAGTCACTTGTCTTTCTCTCGGGGTCTTTACCTCCCACATTGAAACATATTTTTCATTTCAGTTTCACTTACCTGTCACTTTTCTTCTTAAAAGGGGTGATTTATCAAGTAAAAAATCATCAACATCAAAGAATACTTCAGCATTACCAGAGTGTGCGTGCACGCGTGCGCGCACACACACGCACACACACACACACACACATACACACACACACACACACACACACACACACATTCAAACCCTCCCCTGTGTCATGTCTTGAAAGCAAAATTGTGAATAAGAACCACCACACACTCACATCTCCCAACTGGAGCTTTTTTCAGGATCTGAACGTGAGTTTCTTTATTTTGTGGTTTCTCCAGCCTAAAAATTTAAAAGCTGTTGTAAGGGAGCTATAATTTCTACTCAGCACTTCATGATTTGATTATGTAAAATAAAAAGTGTAATGAAGTTAATAGTACGTTATTTTTGCAGTACATTATGAGGAATTTTTTTCCTGCAAAATCTAAAAGTGGAAATTATCTCTGGGCCTTATCACTCAAAAATACAGGTTATAATGATTACTGCGGTGGAATTTCAAGACTCAAGAGTTTAATATGTTTTCCTTTCCTCTATTCAGTTTTCCAAAAGGACATCTTCTTTTACTAGGCTAATATGTTATATAATGAAAGATAAAGAATTACAGTGACAGATATGAAACCTCTGGGTTCTATTCTGGGTTGTATCCCAGTTGTATGACCTCAGGAAAAGCATTTAACTTCATTGAATATTAACTACTCCTTCTGTAAAGTGAGGGGGCTGGATGTACCATTCCCAATTTATCATTCTATAATTTAAAAAAATAATAAAAGAATAAAGTAAAAAAATAAAATAAAATAATAAAATAAAATAAAAATGCCTAGGGAATAATGAGTGAATACATGGTACCAGGTGTTGCTTCTCTTTTTCTTGTATTTCCCAGCAACTCTTATTTAGAATCACCGCTGGGTGTTCCTAGTCTAGTTATATGTGTGATTTCAGCATGGTCCCAAAACGAGGACCATGTCTTGGGGTCAAGTCATTTACAGGCCAGTCAGCTTTGATCTCAGCCCCTGCCTACCTCTCTCCCTGACAGTCACAATAAAATTCACTCAAGGGGCTGTCCATGGGTCTCACACTCAAAGAACCAACTCGAAAAGAGTGTTCTTGCTGTCATTGTCCCAGCAGTAGCATCTTAGATGAGGAAAGAACATAACACTAAAACAGAAGGCACAGTTATAGTCACCTGGCCTAGTTGTATAACATTGAATCGCCTGTAAGCACCCCCATACACTAGCCATGTACTCATAGGAGAAGACATTCATTTCCAGAATTTTCATGATGTATGCATGCAGATGGAACACTTACTCTGCCTCTAGGAAACAGGAAGATATTTCACTAGAGTAAAAATTCTCCTAAGCATCATTTAGGAGATTTACCGGGATTCAGTTTCTCTGGTGGTACCAAGCAACAAGTTCTCATTTTCACAGTATTTTTTTTTTATGCTGTAAGTCAAGAAACAAATTTGTAGCCCCCACATGACAAAGGGTAGCACCATATACCAATGGGAACTCAAGCTTGGTTTGGGACTTCCAGCTAGCATCGGTCATATGACAGGCTTTGATTTATGCTCAGTCAAGTTTATCCCTAAGCAAAATTTAAATGCGGGCAACGATTTCATTGAGACAGTTTCTTCTTTCTCTGATTTTCAGGTACTCAATGTCTTCATGCTAATCCACTTGCCCCTCCCTACTCGCCCCAACCCAGCCCTGTGTTTCAGCGCTCTGTGATCTGCATCCTTTTGTTTACCATCTCCCTGAACAAAACTCTGCTCATCTGGTCAATATTGGGAAATGATCCAGGACCTTCTATTAATGAGTGCTACTGTGAATTATTGAAAGACAATATCTTGGCATTCTGGCTTTGATAGGGTCTTTGCATATTCTCTGAGACCTAAGATGGGCTTTAGGGACTAATCAGCAAGAGAACCTTTCCTGGGTTGCTCACATCTTACTCTACGGCCATCTCCATCCTCTGCCTGCGCAGAATACAGGCCCCATCGGCAGGCTGATATGTTAGAAGTGTTTTCTTCAGCAAAGGAGAGGCTGAAAAAATATCCTTTTATCCTAATTCCCCAGAAGTTGCAAAGGGAATAGATACACACACACACACACACACACACACACACACACATTTTCACTACATTCTACCTGGAGATAGAAAAACCGTGAGAAGAGGGCATAATCCCTGGGAGAAAAACTTAAAATACTATTAAAGTTCTTAGATCTGAAGGTATGCTGGTCACTGCTAAGCCCCCAGACACAGAAGTTGACTCCAGTAACAAGAGAAGAACTAGACACAAAAGTTTCATGTGATCCTTTTCTCAAACTCCAGAAATTCACATCGATGAACAGTTAATGACGTGAAGCCTCAGAAGTTACGGGGTGCATAGCTACTCTGTACACTGACAGAGTAAGACCTACAGCAACAGAGCTGGAAAAGTGCAACTGATAAATCAATTCAGCAAATATTTTACTGAACACTTACTCTGACCCAGACTCTGGGCCAGGTGCTGGGAGAACAAAAATGAATAAAGCATATCCCTATACAACATGCAAACGAAGCAACTAAACTAATTTCTATGGCAGTGGATGAGCTTGATTTGATTTCCTGCTCTGTTTGTATGCATTATGGAAGAGAAGAGGTGACCTGCGCATCTTAGCTCAGACTGAAAGAGGGGCCAATCATCAGAAATCAGTGACTCAGTCTATATCCTTGGACTAATCAGATTCTCAGACACGAACACAAACCCACTAGGCTGTTAAGGATGATGTTCATCAGCATCAAAACGTTTAGAAAGAAAGCTTATGGATAACAAAACTAATTTACATACCTAAGAAGATCTTGGAGCGTTTCTTCACTCTTCAATATTTGAAGCTCTATTGAATTCTTGTTCAACTTATCCCCAAAGTTAAGATAAATGGGTGATGGAACAACTATATATAGGCTTGGCATTTGGCATCAACTGTACAGTAGTGTTTTTGTATAGGTTAAAGTCTACTTCGGCTGGAATTAATGTAATTATATATAATGTTGACAGATTATGACATTTGCCTATTAAGACACTATACAAACATTCCAATAATTTACTGGCTTTTGACTTTGAAAAAAAATAAATGAAACAAAATCCCAGGGGATATTGCTAATGGGGTAACTGGAATAGAGGTTTCAAAAGCCCAGGGTTCAGGAAATAACAGTCAAAGAATAATGCATTTTAAGCCAAAACATATAGAGTGGTAAATGAATATTTAGTACTTACCACAAGACTGCTGTCTAGAGACAGCCTTTTTCCAAAGTCCCTTTTCTCAAGCTGTCTTTTTCCCTCCATGGGTGAAGTTATTTATTTTCCTTTGTGATTTATAAGAATTCCCCTTCTGTTTCCAGGGTCACTGCAAAAAGTGAACATGTTTTTTACTCTCCAAGTGAACAGTGTTTAGACACTTGTTTTTAACTTTCTAACCAGGAACAAGTGTTGAAGCCAAAAATACCCAGACCCAAATAAGTATAGAGCTGGGCTCTCTCGACTCCCAAGGCCTCTCTGGGTTGCAAATGTCAGCGTCATCCTTATGGAGGCCCCTGTGTTTTTACAGGTTTTGCTCATGGACTTGGGGAATGGGTTTGCAGGTCAAATCAGCAGACTGTGGAAAAAAGCAAACAGTCCATTTCATGCCACACTTGTTCCACACCCGTCCTCTTTCTATCAGCCAGAATCATTCTGTTATTGTGCGCACAGATGTCATCTGCGAATTCCATGAGATCAAACTGACAAAACCATGCTCCGTAACCAAGAGTTGTTGAGCCCAAGGCCCAATGACCAGAAACGGAAACATGAATGTTATTGTCAAGATTGAATTTAAACGTATTAGAGGAACATTATAAGATGCATTGCCTTGGGGACAGGTTGATGCAGAATGAATGATGGATGACATCATTATCATCTATGAGCATTTGAACACCCACTGCATTCTAGCATATGAGATACAGTTAATCCCTGCAATCCACTGAAATTGTTTGTTCTAGAATTACTAAGTGTTCTGGTTAGTAAGGATGTATCATATGTATTAAGCACTATAAAAAATATAGGTTTGAGCCCAGGCTTTCCTACCCATTAGCCAAGTGACCTTGGACAAGTCATTGAGCCTCTCTGAAACTCATCCTTCTCAACTGCAAGAACAGATAACAATGGCAATCAAATAACAGATGTAAAAACGGTTTAAAGGCAAGAAATTACAACTTACATGTATGTAAGTTATAATTATACATGGATAATATTAAAAGCAGTTAACCATAAATATTAGTTGGCATAATTTAACATCTTTGATGATTCAGAAGGCACACTGAGGTACAGGAATGTTCATAATCTGCACAAAACTCAGCCATTATACTGCTGTAATAGAAGAGCTAAGCATAAGAAAATGCCATAGCAATCAGTTTTTAATAAAATTGAAATGTTTTTCACAACTCTCTTGATTGTTCCAGGTCTGACAAGGATGCAACAGACTCAACTTCACAGCCCACAACAGGTGGTTTGTTTCTCTTGGTTTCCTCTACCAAGAAGACAGTGAGACAGAGTTTGCCCAAATTATAGTCAATTGTAGGAAACTGATGGGCTCCTTTCACAGTCATAGGCTCCCTCCTCCATCTGAATCATTCCATCTCTCATTTTTAGGAACACTAATTTTAATTCATTACTGATCCACTCAGAAACTCCTAGAAGTCCATTCTGAATTCAGGAAAAAATCCAAATTTTTCAACATCATGTTCAAGGTCTGCTTCCTGACAACTATTCTTTTACAATCCCAAACACCCTAGAAACATTCCTGAAGCCACGCTTTTGATCATACCTCTCTCTTCCATCTGTTCTAGTCCTTCCCTAGCTCCAGAGCCTGGCTCAGGTCCCATCACCTTCACAAGACATTCCTAGTCGCTCCATTTGGCAAACATTGCTTTCTCTCCCAAGTTACATACAAGTCCTTAGGGACTTATCTTATTAGTCACCATCATCACCTAGGATAGTTCTTTCAATATAGTAAGTTCTTAATATTTGCTTTCTGGTAGGGCCCAGTAGTTAAAAACAAATAAACTCTCAGAAGCATTTTTTAGAATAAAGTTAGTTCTATACTATCACTATAGGCAGAACTATTAGTCAAACCAAATTTGTTTCGGGGCTTATCTTTCCCACTTTCAGCTGCCCCCACATGCTTTGCACCCCCTTCTTCTTCCCAGTGACTGGATACTCTCTGTAATGATGAATCCGGCTAGAGAGTCTACTCAGACCCTGAGATGTTTCTTCCCATCAAAAACACACCCTCCTAAGTCTTATTCCAAAGAGCTGTGGGTTTTGATAGGTCACCGTGGACAATCCTTTGGCATTTAGTACGTATTTATTAAGTGCCTATATGGAGAAGCCAGTACTTAGATGTTGGTGACACAGCCATACGTGACAGCAACCAAGTCCCTGCCTTCATGAAACTGACATTCTAGTGAGAGGATATAGAATATAAATAAGCAAGCAAATAATTCAAAATGGCGATGGGTACCTGCTAGGAAGACAATAACCCCCAGAAGGTGGTTTAATTGTTTCAAACATGTGGAAGGGGAGCAAATTTTAGATAGAATGGTAAGGGTGGGAGACAGCCATATACAAATAAGGAAAAAGAGTATGCCAGATAAAGAGAGGCCAGTCTTTCTACGGGGAAGGAACGGGGAAAGTTTTGTGTGCCCCAGAATAGGGGACTAGCTCCTTAGGAACAGCACAAGTTAAGAGGAGAATGTGTGAGAAAAGTTCTGAGATGTTAGCAACAAGTAGGTCATACAGGGTCTTGCAGGCCAAGGTAACTCGTTTGTTCTAAACACACTGGTTAATCTTAGGGTTTGATTCTCTACTCCTTACTTACTAGCTGATAATGTTAAACAAATTATTTAACCTTTGAAGCTTCAGTTGATTCATCTATAAAATAGCATTAATAATAAGACCTTCTTTATAGTAGGGTTGGTATGATGATTATTGATATGGTCCATTTAAAGAGTTTTACCAGGGCCTGGTACAGTAGGTTAGCTTTAAAAATTAGATATGTTGATTACCTCTTCTGGTAAATATGATTAAACTCATTAAGGAGCAACTCTAATTACTGGATTTTATGTTCTATCATAGGCTAATGAGGCTGTCATTTGGGAAATGGGGATCCTTTTGACAGTTCTCAAATAGCCTAGTATGCTGTGTGGAAGAATGATTAAACAGCTTCACCTGGTCAATTTCCTTTCATATGTTATGGTGTCAATAATATAGGCAGATATGATATTCAAAACCTTTAGCAACTGATACTGCATAGGTATTGACCAATCAGAAGGACACAGTCAACGGCAACCAGCAGTGTAACTATAGGAGTGTGTCCTGAACAAACATCAGCCTAAGTGTATGTACTACCCCCTCATCCCATCACATACTTGAGAACCAGTGAATGAAACCATAAAGCAATCATGGAAAGGATCAAAGTAAAGTTATTCAAAAGGATCAAAGCCACGCCACCCAAAAGAACCAAAGTGGCAACCAGGATATGTCAATATGGAAAGGCAAGGGGTCCACAAAGGAAAAGTCAAAAAGGCTGATACACTCCACTTCCAGCACTGCCAAGGAAAGAGTGTGCCCACATTTACATACACCCAGCAGGGAAGAAATGCATGTCAACAGGGGAAATGAGTATGTCAGATCCCAAGAACACTTTGGCATTACACTGGCCATTTACATCATCTAACTAAATCAGAGATCACCATCATTAAGCAACCTTCTAGTTTTATTGATTCCCATGTAGTTTTACTTATAGAAGAAGAATGTGCTGACCAGCAAATGTAAGTTGGCAATCTTTTGGAAAGTTACATTTTTAGTACAAATTTGCAATTTGGCACCTGAATCTTTATACTCATTATTAATGTATTTGCTTAGTCTATTAGTCAGCTTGTGCTGCCATAACAGAAGACCACAGACTGGGTGGATTAAACAACAGAAATTTATTTTCTCACAGTTCTGGAGGCTGGACATTCTAGATTAGGATGCCTGCAGGGCTGGTTTCTGGTGAGGAATCTCTCCTTAGCTTGCATTTGATCACCTTCTCTCTGTGTCCTCACATGACCTTTTCCTTTGCACACATGCTTCTGGTGTCCCTTCCTTTTTTTATAAGGACACCAGTTTTATTGAATGAGGTCCCCACTCTTAAGATTTTATTTAACCTTAACTACCTCCTAAAGGGCCTTATCATAAATATAGTTACATTGGGGGTTAGAGCTTTAACGTATGAATTTTTTGAGGATACATTTCAGTCCATAACAGTTAGTTTCAGTCAGACTTCAAAGCCTGTTCATCTCTCAGTGTACTAATAACCAAATTTCTGATTCTAAAAAACTGAGAGAAAACTCTGCATGTCAGTGGCTACTCTGAGAGCCTACCCCTCTCTGCTGGTTGTTTGACTGTTGGATTTCACTACCAGTACCACCACCACCACCACCACCACCATCACTACCACATGCCCCACTTTGCCCTGCTATAATACTCTTCTCTGTATTGCAGACCTATAAGTACAAACTACATTATCAAGACTCCTTAGTCAGTTGGACAAGTTGAATTCTGCCAGTAGGAGGCAGTGAGAGATCAGAAGGCAACAGGTAGGCAGGAGTCATTCTGCTTCCAGCTCCAGATAAGCAGCACCAACAGCAGGCTCCAGTGACTTCCATGATTCCTCCAACAGCTCAGCATAAGAAAGGGCAGCCTCAGCTTCCCAGTCTTTGAGCATCACCACCTTATGCATTTTTGCTCCTCCAGTCCTTCCTCCAGCTTCATAACAAATGCCATGCATTAAATCCCTCTCTGCTTGAAATATCTAGAGTAGTATCTCTTTTCCAGGCTTGACAATGATTGATGCACACCCCATGGAGATATCTCTGGACAGGAAGCCAGCCTTCCTTGGGCAACTCTGGCTTCCTTCTTATGGGAGTTCTAAAATAATTACATGGAATTAAAAATTCTCCTAGACACTAAGTTCCTCAAGAGCAGGGACAGTATTTTATGATACATGTCCTCCTAGGTAGTATAACACCTTACACATAGCAACATGGCAGACACTTAATGAGCATTGTCGTTTTCATGAATAAATGAATGAATGAATGTTTGCAGCTGTCTTCATGAACATGTCAAAAGCAGGGCAGCAATATAACATTCCTAAACCAAAGGAATACTACGCACATTTATAACACTAAAATTAAGTTTTTAGCCAAACACACAGACATAACCAAGCCTCAAAGAAAACATTTTATCATGATTTTAAAACTATTATCAACCGAAAAATTACTGCTTAGGCCCTGCCTGTACTTATAAAGTACCATAACCCAGCTGTGC